GTTCCAAGACATGTAATTAAAATACGAGACCTTTAACTTGGTCATTTTGAAGGTGAGATTTCTGTTTGTTCTCACTGTCTCCCTGGTAAAACTTCTGTCTGCTCAGGGAAAGAAGGCCAGGGAGGGTGGGAAAGTAAAAAAAAACTACTTCAACAGATGCTTCTTTAAATTTAGCTTTTTATAGCTCTGGTGTTTTTCCTGTAGCAAAGTTCCATGTTGTAATGTGTATCCAGAACAGAGAAATTATTTTAATGTGAACATTTCACTAAGTATAGTAACTAAGAGAAACCATTTGACCTGGTTACTAATTTGACTGAATCCTAATTTAATTAGTGTTCAATTAAAGAGAATTAACACCTAGACACGTTCTGTTGAAAGGTTTACACAGAGGTTTCAGTTAACAAAATATTTACCTTAGAGGGGGAAAGCACTGAAGTTAAATGCAAGCAGTTTCTCCTATAAATGCTCTGAGTACATGGTTGGGATGCTGGCATTAAGAATAGTAGCTATATTTGATATTTATATCTGACAAATCTGCTCTCTGAGGACACTGGAGCTAAATCTTGCCTTCTGAATTACACAGGCCATATTTTCTCCAGTAAACTGTGTACTCCGTTCTGTTTATTGCAGCCACTTGTGATTGTGCTGTTGACCTTTGCTTCTCTGTCCTTCTCCAAAGTCTTCTGATGGCCATGGAAACACTCCCATTTTATTTCTTGAGACTTGAGCCATACTTCAGGGCCTTGATGCAGATCATAGACCTCCTGTTTTGAGCTGGGAGTATCTAATTTGCATCTTCCTATTTAATATCCTCTCTTGTATCAGGAAAGTTGTTTCAGCTCATAACCTCAGTTTCTCCCATTCACTTGCTTCTGTCCAATAATAAAAGGTTAATAGATAATATGCCTGCAGCAGCCTTCCTATGGAAATCAGTAACTGGATTCATCCAGATGTCAAGCACACTGAAAATAAAGATGAGACTGTTGGACGCACTAGTAACAATGAGGTGGCAGTAACTTTGTAAAAACCCAGAGGCAGGTTTAGACAGAGAGTATGGTAAGAACCTGCCTTTTCTGGTGATGAAATTTATCTTCTGTATACTGAATTTTAAAGTCCTGTGGAGATGCCAGAGGTCCTTTGATATCCTTGACATCTGGGGTTGCTTAGGCATGAAACCTTTGCACTGACCCTGCTTTCTTCAGCCTATGTTAAGAGCAGATATTTCTTCCTCTCTCTTCAGTGATGCTGGCTCAAAAATTTCTTCCAGCCTTTATTTTTCTAGTTTTTCTTGTTCCTCACACTCTCTTCCTGTTTCCCTCAGGCTCCATCTTGCCTCTGTTCTCAAAAGCTGAAGCTTTCAGGCACCCTTCCATGAATGTGGCCACATACAAAGTTGCTGCTTCCTCTTGGAAGGTCACTGCCCACCTCAACAGGATCAACATTGTCATTTAATGACTAGAAATTAAATACTTTGTTTTGTGTGACTTGTTCATATATGATCCATTTCTCACTTTCTTGTTCACTCTTAAATTTTGCTTTGACTGTGGGCTTGCATCTACTTATGTGTAGTGCTCTTCAGCTTGATGTTTGACTGCTTCCTAAACTATTTCTCTTTTGGACATGGCTGTAAGTCCTCATTCTTGTTTTGTAGATGAAAATCTTTGTAATCCCTTTTTCTCTGCAGACTTTTTATCCAAGGTCTCTTCATCTAGTCCTTACATGTCTCTGTGTCCCCATGACTACAAAAAACCCTCCACCTTTCCCTATCTAATGAGATATTCTTTCCCTTTGACCAGGGGCTGAGATGACATGTTCATTCCCTTTAACCTTCCTTCCTATTTCTCTTTGACCAGAGGCTAGTCTGGGAGATTTCCCAGTGTCCATTTCAAGATCAGACATCATATGGATTTTTTTGCAGGAGTAGCAGGGGTATCTCTTGGCCATGCAGCTGTAGGAAAGAACAGATTCCCATCAGGTGATTCACTGTGTTTGGCTTACCAGGGGGGAAAGGATGGGAAAGTACATTCCCTGCATGCAAAAAGTTCAGAGAATTTTGTTGCTAAGAGCTGAATCTCTGATGAGCCTTTGTGGGCTGCAATTTTCAAGTATTTACTGCTTGGCCAAATTTGAGGTGATTTTCTTAAGTGAGAGGGACATACAAGATTTCTGTTCTGAAAAATACAAACGAGTGGTTAAGGATACACAGTTAAATAGTTGGGAGGTTTTGTTACGTGGGTAAATTTTTTTTGCCCCTCTTCATCCCTAATTTTGTTGTTGGAAATAGATGACTGAATATTTTTTTAAAACCTTCATGCCAGAATGGAAACTAGTAATGACACAGCAGTTCTGTGCAGCCTGCTGAGGCTTGGGTGACAAATGTTGATTGAAAAGAGGCTCAAAGAAAAGGTACTCAGATATGTTGCCTACACATCCACTATGCCCTAAAATACTTGGTGAACCTTCATCCAGTTGAACAATGCAAAAATCATCTGAATAGCAGAGCTGATTGAAAGCCAGTCCTATATGAGACTCTTTGCAGAGATTTAAGCGGACTGGAAAGCCCACTGCTCCGTTTTTCTTCATTTTACAAAGGAATGAAAATATTTCCAAAGTGAGAGTGACAGACTGAGATAAAGTGGCTCATTCTTGTTTGGTAGAATGATTCTTTGGTCAGGCAGTTTTCTTATTATATTTGTGGAGGACACTAAAATGGGGGATACCCATTGGAAGGCAAGTCTGTATTTTAGGCAATCTAATAATTGTGGAGGCTCAGTCTGAGGTGGGGTGGAGGGAAATTTGATTTGGTGGAAAGGACAGTTGCATTTGGACATGAAAAATCATTGATGTTGATACACCCCAGGGAATGACGGTGTCCTTTGCGGTTCAATAGCATGAATCTAAGGATTATAGTTGATCACAAGGTGAACATGAGTTAACAGTGTGATTTTTGTGAAGAAGCCAAAATCATATTCTGAGGTATATGAGTAGAGGCTCAGTCAGTGAGATGTATCAAGATTATCCTTCCACTGTACTCAGCATCAGTGAGGTCTTGATCTGAGCTGGGTCTATAAAAAGCAATGAGAGAAGTCAAAGTCTATAAAACAAGGCTTGTTAAGGAGAGACTGAAGCAATTGTTGTAATAAGAAGGGGATATTGTTGTGACATTTATGTTAGATAATGGTGAGGGAGAAAGGTCACATGAAGCCCATTCAGTTTCCTGGAAAGATGAGAGTTCCCAAGGCTGGAGACAGAAGATCAGGTCAGGCAGACATCTCTCAGGAACAACACGGTTGTAGGTGATCCTGCCTGGAGTTCAGGGAGTGGGTTACATGATGCCATGTGAACCATTTTGGCTTTACAGCTCTCTGATGTCTAAGTGCCTCCCCAAAGGTCAAGGCAGTGGGAATGTAAACTTTCAACCTCCTCTTTGTGTTTGTTTAGACCTGACTACTATGTGCATGTTTCAATGTTCAAGAGGGTTTGCTCTTACAGAGTTCCTTGTGTAGAGGAGTTACAGAGATCAGGAAGAAACTGGTGTGAGGAGGAAGGTCAGAACAGGTGCTAGGAAAACGCCATTTCAGATATAGTTGACTTCAGGCATTGGAGAAGCCCAAAGTTTAGGTCATATTCAGAGGTGGGAATGATCTAGAAGTTCATTCCTCTCTTAAAACTGGAGAGGGAAAGAGTGGTCATAGCTGCAGCTGCTGTTTGCAGTTGCCTTTAAGCAACATTTCAGTTTAAATATCCTGCCTGGGAAAGACCAGATCTCTCGACCTTAGGGTTTCCAAAACACATAGCAGTTGACCAGCTGTAGCTGCTTGCTGCTGTTGGAGGTGAAGGCCAGAGTTGATCCTGAGCCCTCTTCCCACTGGAGGAACAGTAGTAGAAAACTCCTGTAGGAAAGGCTGCTGAGTCAACCATAGTGTGCAGCTACCAGTGAGGTGGAGGAAAGCCTCCATGCTCTAAAAATAGCTGCACTAGGAGCTCTAGTAATACTTAAGTGCTTATTTTTCCATGTGTGATCTCATGCAAACCAAGCTGCTGGGCAGTATGACATAGCAGTTGGCCAAAAATAAAACATAATTCAATAATTTTTTTTCTGAACTTAACCTTTGGTGGATAGGAGAGACAGGTACCCTGCTTCCTCATTTGCATTATTGGAAAAAAAATCCAGTGGGGAAAAGAGAGGAAGATGGGATTGATGCTTAGTATCCATTTTGTGGTGATGTCCACAGGTAAAGGGTAGGAATCGTAGCTTTCTTGCACAGAAATGTTACATCTCTAATACAGTAAGAAAATGTACATGGGATTTCTCTGTGTGCTTCTGCAGCTGATTTCATTGAATAGAGTTTGGGTGAGTATTTGGTGCTGTAAAAAAGTTATTGACTTAAAAGCATTTGAAGCTGAAGCCCATGAAGGTGGTGCAAGATGAGGAACTTTGGAGCAAGGTGTCCAATTGTTGTTGATAAGCCTCAGAAAAATGTCTTTGGAGGTCTTTAGAAGTCCATTTTCCTTCACTGTTTGATGCTTGGCCAGTTGTTTATTTGGGTCTTTATTTTGGTCAGTTGAGGTAAACCTGTGTTTGTGTATGGAGAGCTTAAACCATGATACCCCTGTGGCAAAAGCTATTGAATGCCTGGTCATGCTGTGGTTCCACTGGCTATTAATGTAATAAATGTATGAAAGAAGTAATGGCAGGGCTAGCTGTGCACTCTTCAGGAAGAAGAGTGCCTTACTGATCCCTTGCTGGTGCAGAAGTGGAAGCCCTGAGGAGTAGGATTGCTTTCCTCTGTCTTAGAAATGGTCAAAACCTTTATCATCTTGAATTTATCATCCTGGAAGTATGTGGCAAAACTCTGGATGCAAACAGGCAGATTTGAGACATTGTTTTGTTTAGGACATCAACATAACTTAGAACTATTTTGGATTTTGTTTCTGTAACAGCAAAAGCCAGGAGAGAGAACCCAACCTCACAGTCTTATCCCTACCCTTCTCTGCAGAGCCTCTGACCTGTTTCTGCTGGACACACGGGTGGTGTGGGCATCGGAGGAGGGCTGGCTGGAGTTTGACGTCACTGCCACCAGCAACATGTGGGTGATGAACCCCCAGCACAATATGGGACTGCAGCTGAGCGTGGTGACCCGGGATGGTAGGTTATGGGCCAGGTGACACAAGTCACCCCTCAGTCTCTTGGATGCCATCTAGAATCTGCTGGGATGAGGCAGGGTGAGCACTTTGATTTCCTAAGGCAGCTGTAGCCAACACCACAAGTAAGATGTCTGAGGACACAGGAGGTGGGCCCTTGGTTCCTGGCTGTCCTGTGATGGAAATGTCCCTATAAGTGAGGTCAGTTATCCCTAGATAGTACCAGGACAAGGTGGTGGACGTGGGTTTGAGTAGGGCCTCAGTTTCTGGGTTGGAGGTGGAAGGGGGCATGGAACTGCCATGTGGGATGAGGTTTGGGGATGAGAGGAAGAGAAAAGACAGAGGTATGTACCTCCCCATGTGGGTTTATGTCATCTGTCCTGGCTGCCATGGCTGCAAGGATCAAAACTGACATGGGAACACTGCTGGAGATTGCACTGATGTGGTTGCTATGTGGAGCAGCTGTAATGGCAGCAATTCCCAGCCTACTGAAACTTTGAAAGGTGGGAAAGAAGATACTGCAAAAGAGCATGAAATTGAGTGTTGGGAGATAAGCAATAGAGAGGATCTCGATGAGCAGAATGTGACAGTGACATCTGTATTCTAAAGGAACCCATCTCCAGCCTTGTTTTTTTCTATTGCTTCATGCTGCAGTTTACTACACCTTGGATGTCAAATAAGACTAGAAGGGCTGTCCACTTCTCCCTGAGGAAATGTTAGTGCCAAACTCTGCCTCCCCAGCTGGGCTGAGAGCCCATCACTGTGCTCCTGGCAAAAGCACACCATCTCTTTGCCCTCTGCTGTCCCTAGACATCTCCTAATCTCTTGTCTGCTTCTTGTATTTCACAGGCAGCAAGACTAATGTCATGACACATCAGAGTTTAGTGTTTTATATATCTATATATATCTATATAACTTTACTGCTGAACTGGGACTAGAGATGCCAGGGGGGAACCAAGGAACCAGATGCTGCAGTGAAGTCTTGTCCAGCATGGGTGGAGAACTGCCATAAAAATGTCCATAGGTTGTGGTGGCAGGAAAGGAATGTTTGGTGTTTAAAGAAGAGTATGAACAAGAAGAGAGGAGACACTGCTTATGGGGATATGAGGTTGCTGAAAGGAGCAACACAACCGCACTGTTTCTCTAACTTTTCTCCCTTTTCTCTTTGGCTTGAAGGTTTCAGTGTAAACCCTAGAGAAGCAGGGCTGGTAGGGCGGGATGGCCCTTACGACAAGCAGCCTTTCATGGTGGCCTTCTTCAAAGTGAGTGAGGTTCACCTACGCACCACTCGGTCAGTGACCAGCAGGCGCAGGCAGCAGAGCCGGAACCGCTCCACCCAGACTCAGGACGTTTCCAGGGTGTCCAGTGTCACAGGTAATCATGGAACAGGGGTAGTCAGTCGTGCAGCACAAGCTGGGAGGATGTCTTGTAATGGCTCTGGATGCTTTGGAGGGCAGAAGCAAGACGGGGATCATGAAATGGGATGCTCTCCTTGGGGGTATAGGTTACATCTGCAAGGTTGTGGAAGAGGAGGTCTGACTTAATGAAACTTACAGGAGTCCTCTTGAATCCAGCATGGAGTCCAGACCCCCATGTGAAGTGCATCTTTTGCATTCAAGGTGGTGAGGTATTTTAACCACAACTGTAGTGCTTGTAGGTTATGTGCTATGCAGTATTTGTCTAGAATTAGCCATGTGAAGTGCAGTATTTAAAAAACTCTTATCTCTGTATACACTGAGATTTCTGGTGTTGCATTCTCAGCAGAGTCCTTTTTCTATTTTCTTTGGAAAAACGTGGGAGAACAGCACGAGATGCTTTATTTTTTTAATCTTGTGAGAACATCAGAAGTACCTTTCCTGGCAGGCAAAGAAGTTTGCCTTTTTGCTGTGGAGCACTTGCATGTTGCAGGTTTTGTACAGCAGCCTTGTGAGTGCTGTTGTGGGCTGGTGGGGCAATAGAGTAATGAAAAAAAATTTTGGCAAAAATCAAGAGTCTTCTGTCTTCTTAGTCTTGTCTGTTTTCCATCACCACAGTGCTAGAAACCCATCATTCACTGAGTACCTTCTTTTCTCTCAAACATTTCAGCCTATTCCAAGTTGCTTGATTAATTTGCTTATGCTGCCCCCTTTGTTTCCAATAGGATCCCTGCTTTTCCCACGTCTAGAAATGACTATTCCCCAAGGAAGAGAGGCAGCTGTATTTTTTAGTCTATGTCCAAACACAGCAGAGGGAGATGAGCCAGTATTGCTGATGCTTAGCTGGTGGGAATATGTAGGCTGTTCCCTGCTCTTGCATGTTTGGATTGTGGGTGAGCCATGCTTGCACCCAAGGTGGTTCCCTGCTGCAGGGAGCAGAGCCAGGGTGGGAGCCCTTCCAGGGCTGGCAGCCAGGGTTTGTGCATGGCTGTGTGTTGACTCAGCTCAATTACTCCAGCCCACTGTGATGATGGACTTGCCCTCTGGGCTAGTGTGTGCCAGCAGCAGTTGGCCACTAGTGGCCTTTGCATATCCTTGTGGCTCACACTGCAGCGTGTCTGTGGGTTCCGATGCCATGCCATGTGAATGCCAGACTCGGCTGGCTGTGAGATGTCCCTTCTGGATTTTAAGGGCAGAAGAAACAACTGGTTTGTTGAGCCCAAGCTCCCACAAGGACACTGGCCAATGCCAACTTGGCATTTCTGGAGGAGTTATCATCTAATCTGCCATGGGAACACCTTCTGTGGATCTAAGTTACTGAGACCTGCTTTGGTCCTCCTTCAGATTTCCGCACTTTTTCCAGTTTTAAAGCTGGGCATTGTAGCTGCTTGCTGAGTTACTTTCCCATATGATGAGCTTGCCAAGGGCACAGGTAGTTTATTCATCTGGGTGTTGTAAGCCCAGCTGTTATGGAGGAAGTTCTCTCACTTAGGTAGGCTCAGCTTCTGTGTTCCCTTCAAAAGAGCCAATTATTTAATGCATTCATTGTGCTTTGGGAAAGTTACATGCTGCACTGCTGTTTTGTGGTGCTAGTGGCACTTGGAGTCAGGATAAGCTCCAGCTTTCTCTCCCCAGCTCTGCAAACTTCACAGTGCTGAAACAAAATATTCGCACTATTAAATCAGGTGATGTGACTCAAAGCCCCAGAGGGAGCAGATATGTTGGGCAAAAAGGGCCATTTGTACTTTGCCGTTTTCTTTGACTACAACACACATCAGGTCATAAAATTCTAAAATGACAAAAAGGGAAAATAGCTGGCATTCTGTGGTCTTGAGGGCTTTTATGGGCCAGCTTTAATTTAAAACCTGGAATTTGGCAGTGAGTAGTCAACAACGTATAGTTGAGACTAGATTTAAGGCAGGGGAAAGGAGGGGAATTTAAAGTTAAGATGTATATTTGGTTGGCTTATATGTTTAGAAAAGAGAGACTACATCATCTTGTTTTCCTTTCTAAGTGTGGCACTCTCAGATTCTGTTGTCTTTAAGAAGGGGTTGATTTAACAGCCCAAGAGGCACCAATGACCAAAAAGTGTTTTTAACATTAGAGATCATGGGCTTTTTTTTTTTTTTTTTTTTTTTTTTTACCTGGAAGGATAAAAAAATCCTGGTGCATGGTGGTGCTAAGGAAGCATTTGCCCCAGGACAAAGCAGAAGGCAACCTCAGGGATTATCCTGAAGGCTGCCTAGCTCTTCTGAAGGTGCCCTGATGCATTTGGACCCAAAGTTGGTGCAGAACTGGGATGCTTCAGTTCTCTTCTGTGCCACTCCTTGCCTGTGCATCTTCTTTTCTTGTTGCATTTCACATCTTGTCAGATTTTTGGTCAGCGCTCTTCCCCAAGGTAGGATTGATGTTCCCTACCAGGGCTTGAGAGCAGTTTCTTTCCCGCAGAGCAAGGCAGTTTTTGGTTTTGATGGGTGTTTTTTGTAGACTGCAACTTCCTTCCTCTTTGTTAATCAATAAACTGTGTTTTCTTTTTTCAGTCCAAAAAGGAGCCCTTTTCTCAAAAGATGCTGTGAGTTGTTTTGGGGCAGTATGTTTTTATAAGCCCCAATTACTAGATAGGGCAAGTGTCTACATATGGTAAGTGTTGCAATCAGTTTGGAGTGCATGAAGTGTGCTGCTGGGCTGGTATTGCAGCTGGGGAGGCAGGGAGTTAGGTGAGGGCATGCTGCTGTGTGGGAAAGGGACCTAAAGAGACCACACAATGCTCCCTTTGATGTACAGTTGTCCTGCAGTCAGTACCAAGAGCTCAGATGCTAAGGCTGTTTCTGTGGCACAAGGCTCTCAATGGCCTGTATTTTTTTTGCCAAGAATGCTTATTTCCATGTATTATAAACACATAATTATCATTGGCTTATATAAAGCAGAACTGAGCAACTCCCATGGTTTTAAACTGCTTTGACATAGAGTCCTGCGTCAATGCATTCCTGGAGCCTCATTTCTTCTGCAGAAGGAGGATGAACAGGAAGAAAAGGGAGTATTTTCATCTTCTGAGGCAGGAAGTCACATGCCAGGTCTGGCTCCAGACATGGAGGGACACAGTGGGTGGGAGGAGCCCGCAGGTGTTTCTCTGCTGTTGTCTGCAGGGTCTGGAGGCCCTGGCTCAGCTGAACCTTGCAGTGGCTTGAACTCATGCTCTCAGACTCTTGCTGACCCCTCCAGCTGACCAAAGAGATGGGACTGTCCAGTGTAACAGGCTGTGAACCTCTGCCCTTCAGCCAACTCCATGATTTATGGGTTTTACACAGGGATATCTCTGCAGTGGCGATAATCCTTCTCTTCTGCAAGTCAGCCTCCAGGCACATCCATTCCTGTCAGCCCCTCCTCAAAGAGAATTTAAATGCCGGATTTTGGGCTGCACTTGCTGCTCTGAATGAAACTCAAACCAAGTCTCTTTTCAGGTCCTTCTCTTTAATGCCTCCTGGACTGATGTGAGAGGCTCCATGGAAAATGGAGAAGCCCTTCAAGTGGCCTTTCCTTCCAGCAGATGTGCACTGCACTAGACAGATTTCCCCATGTATACAGGAACCAGATATTGGAAAGGCCAGTATGCACAAACACTGAAGGCAAATAAGGCCAAATGCTTTTGTGATGGCAAGGGCCTTGTTAATAAACTTTGTTATCTGGCAGCCAATCTTCCCTCCAGTATAATTTTCCCTTCAGTGCAGTGCTTGGATGCAGACTGGAACAGCGTGGCCAGCATTTCTCTATGTGCCTTCACATGCGGGTTCACGTCAGCCCAACATCTCCCCTTCTTCCCTCCCAGGCAGATCACTTTCATGTGAACTGGGTTGTTATTAACTGTGTGATCAGTTTACACCAGCTTTATCTGGACAAATCACCAAAGTCAAACACCAAGAAGAAGGGGCTGGCCTTGGAGACCTCTGTCAAAGCTATTTTGAATCACAGAAGCAATTAATTACTGTGTGGAATTTGGTAAACTGGCACCTTGGGAGCAGTGAGGGTGTTCTCAGATGGATCGACCACAGTAAATATTTATATGTTCTTTGCCAGCACTTAACGTGGGAGAGGTTATAGGAAATCCAAGGTGGGTGCATAAGTATCTGTAGGAGGAAGACCATTAGGGTCAGGCTGTTCTCTCACCCTTTTCAGCAACACACATGCCAGTGTCCAGCCTTAAGAGAAACATCTGTGCTTGCAGAAAGTCAGACTTGGGTCCTGGTGAAGGCAGACAACATTCAATGCAAACACACTACAGAGACAAGCAATTTTAGCTGTGCTGCTTTAACTGTGTTGCTCTGGGAGTTATTTTTAAGTGCAGAACTAGGGGTTTGAGCTTTTTTTGAATCTCTGTTTTAGACAGAATTGTTTGCAGCATGATTAAAAGCAGTGCCTTGTAAGTGCCAAGTTAGCGTTTCTGAATTAGTATGTTCAGGGGAAAAAATAGAGACAATTTTGCTAAATCCACAATTAGCCTACAGGAGCTCCCAAAGCAGCTCCCCAAACTCTCAGAGATGCTGAAGGCAAGCAATCCCTGCCAGTTGTGCCATGGCAGTGTAGGCCAGCCCTGTGGCAGTTATTTGCAGCACCTCCCCTCTGCAGACTGCGTGCTCTTGCCCCTCCTGGCTCCCTGCTGCAAGGCTGGCGGGAAGGGACACAAACCCTGTTGCCTCTTGGCAGTTGGATCTTGCACTGCAAACCATCCCAAGTGGCAATCTGGGCTAAAACAGCTGAGCATGCTGGCCTGGGGTGGCTGATGCTGCTTTCCAGGCTTTGCAGAAAATATGTTGTGGAAGCCAACTTCAGTAGCTCAATGAGCTTTAGCTCATTGCCAAAAACCCTGTGACTCTGTGCATTGCTCTTCTTTTCAGGCCCATAACTGATGGGATTTCAGGATGAATGTCCAGTGTAGGGCCTATGCTGAGCCCCTGACTGTAGGGAATGGGTCATGATTATGTACATCTGTACTGCTGCATCTTTTTCCCCAATTCAGAAAGCCACTGCTAAGGGTTGCTTGAAGATTTGTGACTTACCTAAAGTTGGGCTAAAATAGCTTCCATAAAGCAAACATAGTAGTCAAACACATAACAAGAAAAGAGGGCAGGGGATCTTGGGGTGAGGGTTGAACAGGGAAGAGTGTAAAGCCAGGGAGAGGGAATGTTTAGTGTGTTGATGTTTAGAAAAGCAAAGGCTGAGGCTGGGCAAGTGAGGAGGTAGAGCTGTCTGCATCTGCCAGGGCTTCATGCAGAGCGTGACTCTGACCAATGAGCTGAGGCGAGTTTTTGGGGGTAGTGTGAGAGAGGACACGTTCATAACATGTTCTGCTTGGTGTAGCTTGTTAAGCAGTTCTTTTTTTCCACCCCTGTGTTTTCTTAAACTTGTGATTGCTTGCAGCCTTCCTTCCCACTCCTGTTTTCTCTGCCTCCCTTGCCTTCTTCCCTTTCCTGTAGCAGATTTGGGTAACTTGTAGCTGGATTTGGAAAGTAGCACCATTTTACCCACCCAGTTGTGAATAGATCAATTCCAATGTCAAATACAGATGATTTTCCTCTAAATAATCTATATATCCGATTGAAGAACAATAAAGTTGTGTTCTCAGGTGCTTCAATGAAAGCCGTTGATCACTAAAAGAATCTTCTCATTTTTTTCCCTCATTATGATCAAATAATTTTGAAACATCTCATGCTAGAAATGTGCTCCTGGGCTGAGCCAGGGGCTGGAAAGCTTCATCCGAAATAAACCACCGCACCCTGGTTTCTACTGGGTATGTCTGGTTTGAAAATGGAAAGCTTGAATAGAGAGACTGGCCTCCGTTCTTGCTACCGCGTGCTCCTGGAGGAGCGAATGTTTATGCTGCAGCAGGCTGTTAACCAGCTCTGCTCACCTGATTAAATCCGTGATTGAAGCGAAGCTATTCAAAGTCTGAAATGCAATCCTCAGAGTTTAAAACCCAACTGCTTCTAAAAACAACTCTCTAATCTTTGGTGGCTGGGAAGCTAGGTTCAAGGTGTAGGGTTTTTTTCAGCCCTCAGTGTTAACTGTACCCAGCTGTACTGCTGTGCTGCCCTTAATGTCAGTTGGATGTGCTTTTAGTATTATAGTTTTTCTTCTGAATAAATATTTGCATTCGTAGTTCCCAAACTTTGGCGGGGGAGGGGGAATGGTGCTGGAGGGAAGAAAAAGAAAGGCTTATTCAGAGCCAAGGAAAAAATCACTAAAAATATTTTTCTATCCCAGTTGCCGCATTTGGGGAAAGGTGCACTGGGAGGGTGCCCTTTCAAGCCATGTGAGGGGCACCAGGGGGCTGGTAAGCTGAAAGGTCCAGGGCAGCAGGAGTCAGTGGCATCAGCCTGTGGCATCTGCCTGCTGACAGGAGGGCCATTACTTGCAAATGGGAGCTGTTAGGGAAGAGAAGTCCCCTCTGGAAAGGCATGGAAGGAAAACACGGGCGGTGACCTGGTTCTCAAGCTGCTTGGCTGAATTTTTTGGCATCTCTTTCTCTCATGCCTACCATTGGGTGCAAAGCACAGGATCAGCAGCTGTCGCTGGTGGCCAAGTCACCTCACTGCAAGGGTGGTTTCTGTGGCTGCTCTGCTGAGGTCCAGCAGCCACCTGAGGTGTGACAAAACCAGCAACCACCCATCAGGGTAGATCTGTGCAGACACCCGGAGGTGAAAGGCCCTTCTGTCACAGCTCAGCTCTTCTGCTCACTGTGGTTTCAGGTGTTCACATGCCGAGCTGCCTCTCTTTCCAAATATAAATGGGAAATTCCACTTGCTATCAATAGCTGTAGTTTGTGGGATCCTCAGGAGCAGCTCCTCTATGGTTGAAACATCCCATACATTGTGCCATGGCAAGGGAGGTCTTGTTCAGGGCTTTCCATCCTGTGTCCCCACTTTATTGGAAGTAAGGAGCAAGTGAATGGTGAGAGTATGTCAAGTGCTGTGTCATCTTCAGAAAAGCAGTTTATGGAAAGGAGAAATGTGTTTTTCAGAGCATGGTTTGTAAATGTCCAAGGGCAGAGGTGGTGCCATGGGTCATATGAATTGTGTGGGGCAAGCTGGGGTAAAGGCACAGAGAGGAACAAGGACATGACTTCCCTGCCTATGGGGCAACCTTAGCTGTTTGAGCACTTCTGCAGACTGGTGCAGGGGCACTAGGTGATGATTAACCTTCCTGGGGCTGTAATCTCTCTCTCAGTGAGTGTGTGCAGCTTGAGCTCCCCACCTGGGGCAGCACATGCCAGAAATGGGAGCCAAGGAAGTGGGGTGAGTGTGAGCACCCAGTGGGGATGCAGCCTATGTGGAGTTGAAGCAAGAGATTTATTTTTAAGAAGTTGTTTTACTGGAGGTGTTTTCCAAACACTTTAAAGACAGCTGAAGTAACTATAACCAATTCACTGTTACTTGGGTTCCTCCATTCCCAAAGACATCTTAAAAGCTTCAGCCCTGCCTTGGATGTCCCCCAACACCTGTATCCTTTTAGCTGCTGAGGGAGCTCATCACTTCTCGCCGCTGAGCCCGCATGCACACATCTGGCCAGATGTGCCTTCCAGCAATGCTTGGCCTGTTTTACTTTCTAAACTCTTGTTTTGCTCTTTTTCTTTTAACAGATTACAACAGCAGTGACTTAAAAACAGCGTGCAGAAAGCATGAGCTTTACGTTAGCTTCCAAGACTTGGGATGGCAGGTGTGTGATGTTTCTCTCTGGGTAAACCAGACATTTTGTTATGAAATGTTATCTAAACAGTGTCACGGTAATTCCACTCGAGTCTGCCATTATGCTTTAAAATGTCCCTTGTGCCTCCTCACTAAAACCAGTCACAGAGAAGGGCAAATAAATATTGATAGTTGTGACATTTGATAAGACCCAGAGAAAGCTTGATACTTTATGGGATTCAAGTATACGGTCATTCTCTGTCACTCATGGGAGTCACGGTACGGGCAAGGGCTTATATCTGTGTACCTCTAATGATAAGGGAAACAATCTGATGTTAAGCAGTGATTTTAACTTAACTTTTTTCTAGTGATCACCCTGATTTTAACCTTGGCCGTTGTTTGAAATCCTCCATAATCCCTGCCCCAACAATTAGCACTGCCTGCGGTAGGTAGACTGAAGACTGAGTTTAGTTGCAACACCATGAAGCCAGAAAGTCATTTAGAGTAAGTTATTTAGGACAAGGCTATAGTACAAACAAACATCACATTTCAAAGAATGCCCTCACCTCTTTTAAATTTTTATTTTCATTCCTTCATTCAGCACTCATGAGGGAGGTCCCATTTCTATCAGCTAATGTTTTCACCAGGTTATAATTCAGGATGCCAGGGCTGTCTCTGCTGCTTCTGTAATACCCAGCACATGCAAATCCTCTCTCAGCTAATGGGATGGCAGCATTTTTTGTAGCTCATGTGTCAACTCCAGCCCAGTAGCTGCAACTGTGGGTGTGTGCTGGCTCCATTCCCCATTACTTATGGGTGGCTTTTCACTTGAGCAGTCGTTCCACCTCTTCCTTATCTTACTTGCCCTGATTTTGGGCAGGAATTGGATTCCAGTTGGGAAGTTCATGATTGTGAAGGCACTACCTTCACCATTCTAGTTGCAGTAAAGGTAATGCTGCCAAAAGAAGGCCACAGCCACAGCAGGACTCATTGTAAGAGTTGGAATCCAGGTCCTACTTTTTGTAGGAAAATGATCAAGGCAAGGTAGAGCCCCCTGCAGTCATTGGGCACTGCTATTTCCTTCAGAACAAACTTGGCTAGCAAAGCCACAGAAAGAGTGATAGTTACTCAGGCCTACTGTAGCAAAATTCAGGCACTCAGGTCATTGTCAGGTAGTGGAAATTGCCTAAGAGATACACGCACGTGAAACATACTAGTATGTCCTTCTGCAGGGTGACCTGCAGAGCCCAATGCCAAGGGAGGTGAAGTGTCTCCTGTTCTGTGGTGCTGCTTTTAATTTTCCTTTGGCTCTTTTGTGTCAGCAGCAGACAAGCTTCCTTTGGTGAAGAGTCCCCTTTTTGCCTAGTATGGCATTCAGATTGCCCCTGTGGCCACCTGTTTGCTTATGCAGCTCAGGCTGGCTGCCCTGCCCCTCCTTTAGGAGTCTGGCAGATGTGGAGAAGCTGTTAGGCAGCTAAGATTTCCCACAGTGTCTTTGGCAGAGTAGTGTCCCTCTATGAGAATGTATAAGCTAGGCTGTCTCTGCGGGACACCAGCTGTGGCTGTGACTCAACCTAGGAAAGGTATTTCAGCCAGATGGCTTGCAGGAAATGTTGGAACATAAAGGCCTCCAAACCACAATCCCCACAATGCAACCCAACGAGAGTTTTAGGGGTGAAGCCCTCTAAGTTAATGGTAGTTGAGCTGTACATAGATGTATATCATTCTTTAGACATGAAAATCAGAAAAAGTCCATGGAAAAGGACTTTTGTGTGCCACAGAAAAAAGTGGCACACAAAAAGAAATTTTAAAAACCCAACTAAAACTCGAGCAGTTTCAGTGAAAACACATTTTTACCCTCAAGGAAGAAGTTAGTGGAAAATTTTCAGCTGCTCTTAATTGTGTGCAGTTGTCTGTTGAACCATGTTCTGTTTGTTTCCCTAAAAAGGACTGGATAATCGCTCCAAAAGGCTATGCAGCCAACTACTGTGATGGGGAGTGCTCGTTCCCACTCAACGCCCATATGAATGCAACCAATCATGCCATTGTACAAACTCTGGTAAGTCTCCAGGCAGATCAGTGCCAAAGCACCAGGTGAATTTGTAAACAATATACCAGTGTCTCAGTTGTGTTTTCTTTCTTGGCAACAGGTTCATCTTATGAATCCTGATTACGTTCCCAAACCATGCTGTGCACCTACCAAACTAAATGCCATATCTGTTCTTTACTTCGATGATAATTCTAATGTAATCTTGAAGAAATACAGGAATATGGTAGTAAGAGCTTGTGGATGTCACTGACAAACAGTCTTCACACGGACTCTGCGATGCTGCCATGAACTTGGATACAACCCACCCTGTTTTCACAACCTTGAGAAAAAAAACACGTGATGAACGACCCTTCAGAACACCATGTATGTGCCTTGTGGGAGGAGGGGGTGTGGGGACCACCCCCCCAGGGTGGGAGCAGACTGCTGGACTTCATACAGACTGACCCTACACCACGGTGGCTGCCCAGCTCAGCTCAGCAGCAGCAAAATGCCCACACACTTTATTTGGCTGGGATGGTCCTAATCTCACAGAGAAGCTTGACCTGTGCTTGGATATGTGCTGCAGTTTTACCAGATGAACACTCGACACCCAAAACAAGTGAGGTCTCTCTTTGGGAGCAGGGAGGGAAGATGAGGAGAAGAGGCAGAGAAGCTAAAGAAAGTGGTGTTAGCACTTCAGACAGAGTGTACATCTCATGCAAGATCCTTGTGGCCAGAAGGACTGGTTACTGCATCTAGACTGTTAGTCTTCTCCTGACATCTGTCATGACAGTAAGCATCTAAAATCGTGCCAAAGCAGATGTTTCAGTTCTCTTATGCTCCCAGCACTGTTTAACTCTGATCTTGCAAGTGTAAGATGGCACGGCTGCACCCTGTGTTAGAAAAATTACCATGAACTCAGACCCTGTCTGGTCCCAGCTCACCATCTAACTGAGCAATACAAATTTATACATTTGCTCTTATGCAACTTCCTTCCGCTCCCCTCGTGGAGCTGCCTCATCTACTACCACTTGCCCAGGAAGGAAGTCAGGACACTTCTTCAGTTGTAATTGAGAAGTAAAAGCTTAGGGACCGTTCTCTAGCTGGAAAGTTTGTTTTGTTTTCAACTCGTGCAACTAACAAACTGGTATAAAGGATATGCAGCATAGAGCCATGGTTTGTCTAGCAGAAGCTAATAGCAAATTGTTTTGATCAATATTAAACTTGTATTAAATGCACTTACCTCTACTTGCATTTAAAAGGCTTCTTGTAAATACAAGCTATAATTTATTGCACTTGTCACTGTATATTCATTGTGCTGTATCATTTATAGAAAGACTGCTTTTTTAAAAAGTTTTTATTTAGAAAAAATCTCAGTGTAAACAATTGTACCACTTTGATTTTATACAAGAAACTCATGAGATTGTGCTTCACTAGAAAGTTGTTAAAACATAATAAAGGCTTCCTGAAAGGCAGAAGTACACACGTTGATCCAATACATCTGCCAGTACAACACTTAGCTTTCACTGTGGCTTTTTCACCTTCACACATTTTCAGACTGAACAGAATCAAAAGTTCTGGACAGACAATGAAGTGAAGAACCAGGAGAAATTCACTGGCTTAAAAGTTCATTGATGTTTTGCCCTTTTTTTTAATAAAAAAGAAAAGCAACCCAACTTACTCCATATGATGGACAAAACCCAGCATCTTGACAAATTAGTCAAATTAGCTTGTAGCAATCCTCATTCCTCATGAGTTTCTGTGCACATGAGATAGCAGAATTCAGTCCTTGGTTTGCTGTTGCCTTTGTATCGTGACAGACAATTTAAATTCTTTGGCTTTCAGTTAAGTCTAACATGGAACATCTTATGCACCAAAGAATAGATTTATATTATAATCCAAGACACCACAAAATGTGTGGTCCTAGAATTCAAACTTATCAATGCTTAGAGCTTGGAAGAAAATATTAAGGCTCAAGAAGAGAGGGGGAACTATTTTACACTACTGCAGAAGAGCTGAATGGAAAAAAATACTAAACATCTTGTTGTTCTGTAGGTACTCTGACTAAAGATCAGGTCAGCACAATGTCTGGATTCAGGCTGGGGTAGGAAACACGTCATTAGCTCCGGGGTCTGACTGATCATTTACCATTAATGGAGCAGTTGTAACAGCACCTATTTTTTCACTCTGGCTCTAGAGAAGTAGAGCATAGTTGTGCCCCTGGAGCTGGATGGCAGCAGCCTATGGAAATGCACCTGACACATGTACACTATGGCATCATTAACGTTCAGGCACATGTTACAGTACCATCACTTTCATTATGGCTAGACCTCCCATGCTGAGAGGATTAACAGGAAACAACCAGCTCATGGTGGCCTGGTATCTTCCAAAGATGTGTGTGTTTTCAACCTTTTCAGACAAATAAGGATCAAGTACAATTCTAGAGGCAAAAGTGACTCAACACAGCTGTAGCTTTTGCCTTTCTAGTAACGGTAAGCAGTTTGTAAGGATTACTCTTTAACCGGATCTAACCTGAAGACAAAAATATTCTACTGCTGCCCTTCAGTTGGTTTTCTTAACGTATTTTGGTCTCAAAGGAAACCATTTACACTTCATTGCAGGAATGCAGAAATGCAGTGCAACTACCAATGCTGAAAATACTCTTGATTTGTACACTAACTACTTGTTAGCTTTCTTTCACACACACAGAGACATGTCTCTAACACACACACAAGGGGAAGATACCAAAGTTTAGTACATTCAATTTCCTAGAAACAAAGAAACAAAAAAAGCCCCACCCCCCCAAATACACTATTTGAAAATTAGCCAAGATAGAAATCCCTCAGCTACTGTACAGAGACAGCCAGGGACAGAGCATCCAGACTTTTATTACAGTTCATCCCTTGCCTGACGCAAGACAAAGTTATGCAGTGATTCAAGGTCTCTTGTTCCGTTGTGTTCACTGACTTTCTTTCCACCTCGGAAAAGCAGAAGTGTAGGATAACCACGTACCTTCAAAAGACACACACAAAAAAAAAAAAAAAAAGAAACTTGCTATTAATAATGTTCAAACTTGTATCCATCACTCATATTTACCTGATTCTGAAAAGCCATCAAACCCCTCTAAAACAGTAAGCCGTTTTAATTTAAAAAAACAAATCGACGGCAGAACTTTCAATGCGAACCTGCAATTTCTGAACATTTTTAAGAGAATGCGATAATACATGGTCCTCTAGGCTCTTGTAATGACAGCCTCAGTTCTGTCTTCAACTGCCTCTGAAAGACATTTCTTTTCTAGAACAGAATTCAGCATTGGATACTACAAGACAGCTTTAGTGCTTTCAGAGAGAGAGGTTTCCTAAAGTAGGGACTCCTTCAGCTTTGTCCAATAATGAAAATGACCAAGGCCAAACAAACAATTCAGGAACAAAATGGTGTCACCAGCTGCCTCTTTTTGGCTAACAGAGACCACAGCTGTACTGTCACCAGGCACCTGGAGTGCAGCAGCCAGTTGGGCTTCACACTGGACCTTTCAACATCTGGTACACAATACTGTCCCCTTCACTTCAGAACTTTCACACTTACAGAAAATCTGTTGCAGACATTACGCTCCACAGTGCAGTCCACTTCTGCTATTTTGACATCAGTCAAACCTGGAAATTGCTCTTTGGCAAGGTTCTCCCAGGTTGGAGCCAAGTTCTTACAGTGACCACACCTAGAAGCAAAGGAGGAATATTTGTTTAGCAGATACACTTTCCACTTTATCTCTACTGTCTTGCTGCAATTGCTTTAACTAGCAGCCTTTCCTATCCCCTAATGATTTGGCCTTCCAAATCCCTTGCACTATTATGTCAGTAAATGAGCTAAGAAAACAAGTGATTTTATTTAAGTTAAACACTGAAATACTTTCTGGCCTTTGTTAGTCTTGCCTAGAATGGTATTCCAGATCTCAGTTCATTAAAATTTTACCCCAAAGAGGAATATGAAGCCAAATAAAGACAAGCACAGTGAATATTTAAATGGAAAGAAAAGATCTCTTGGAAACAAAAAATGCTTTTAGGAAGACACAGAATGTCTGTAGTATGAATTAATTTTTCAGGTAGCACATGCCAGTCATGCTAAAGCTACATACCCCAAGTTTTAATTAGGTAAATGAGATTTTAATTTCCCTATTAAATTTCTTCCAGTTCCTAATGGCCTCCTTGACCATTAGCATTCATTTTATTTATATTTTTAACTTGGCTTACTCAAGTTCCTAATGTGAACTTCTTACTCCCTTTAATAAGAATTCCCAAAGAACTTTAGACTTTAAATCTGCATTGCTCATACTATTCTAACCCAGCTGCACTTTAATTGGGTTATTAAAACAGACCCATAATTGCCTTGAGGCTGGATCAGGGCATTTACAAAAATAATGAAAGATGTCTCAGCACAAGTTTTCTTAATGCAAGCCAGTGTATATTTAAACTACCTTGTTAATACACAGTGACAGTATAAAAGCATTTCTGACCATGCACAAAAACTATGAGAACAGGATGATTTTGTGCTTACAATGCAACTTAGCATTAATATTTATCCAAAACTAACTGAAGGGCAGACTAGAAAGCAACATAATAGTGTTCACTGAGCCCTACATAGGTTAATCCACTTGGAAGAGAATATGGTCATTTATATGCAGAGCACTACAAGCCTGACTTTCAGAGCCAAAACTAGGATATGAGCAACATAAATATAGGAAGCATTTTCCTAAATGGTGGCTTTCTGAGCATTGCAGCCAGGCAGCACACACTGGTGACTCTACATCCTGAAACCACTGTTTCTCAGCCTGCCATCCAACACTGATCCTATCTGTGAGATCCAGCAGCATCCCATGAGAATCTCATGAGATGAGGACATGGTATTGTTAATAAAAGATAACAGAAAGGGTAGAATTTCTTGATCTCAAACTCTCCCAGAAAAAGTTGCTCCAGGTAATGAACTAGTAGGTATGCCAACAAACCTGGGTTCAGAAATCAGACAGGAAGCTGCTCTTTAGCACGGGTGTGAACTGAATTTCCCAGCCAGTTCTGCAGGTGGGGCAGAAGCAGCACAGGCACAGATTCAATCTAAATCCCTCCCAGAGTACAGAGGGGATAAAGGCAGTGAGGAAAGAGCAGTAAACGATGAGGGGTGTGCATGCTATGGGCAGGGCATTTCTTAACCCAGTGGTGGCAGATACTTTCTCACATCCAAAAGCAGATCTTACAGATGGAAGAGAGCATAGCAGTGGTTCTCAAGCAGCAAAAGGTGACAACACTGGAAAAGCCTGCAACATTGAGCTTAACTGAAATGAAATGCTCCCAGGTAATTCTTGCCTACATTAAGAAACACGTTCATGCCTACTGTTGAAGTTAAATGGCAATATTTTGAGATGTCTGAGCACATCTAAATATGAGTGGAATTTGCTTATGTTGATTTGTAATGGGGCCTTTTGTTGCATAAACAAAAGACGTTCTTATATTTTATATATTGTGTTAATGGAATGCTAATAATTAAATCAGAGATGTGTTATCTTTCACACAGTGAAATACAGCTTAATTTTAATCTCTCCCCCTACACTAGGCTTCCTTCTTTTGGCTAAAAGACCGGCAATGGATGAGCAAGATGGCATGCAGGTTTCATTAAATTCAGTAGAGGCACAAATAAGATGAATTCTAGAAACCAGAGAGATAAGCATGAAACTTTCTTTTTGTCTCAGAAAAGGAATAGTAAGAAAAAGGGGGAAATACTTTTTCTACAAGTTTGTAATATGGACGTCTTAACCCATCTGGGGTCCCAGGCTCTGCTGGAAATAGCAGAAATGGCAGATGCCAGACATGACTTTCAGTTCCTCCTCCAATGTGTTCCATTGGGTATCTACACCTACACCATCTGCCCTGGGCACTTCTACCTTGGGTCCCTCTAAGAACATACTGCATGAACATACACTCTTAAGAACATCTTAAAATTTTCACTTGTGTAAATTAGTTTTGGACAGTTATTTGAGCAGTAACAGGCAGTTAATTATCCATAGCTCAACAGTCTGTATCAAAAATCAGGTGCTCCAATGAGTCTTCCAAGCGAGGCTGGAGAGCACCCTAATGCAAGCATCCTCTCCTTTCTCAGCACTGAGATATGGTCCTATGCTCCCCTCATCTTACCCTAACCCAGGGATAGGAACATGCAGCACCTGCAAAGAAAGCCTCACTCTCCCTGTTACCCCAGAAGTACCTGGAGGCTGACATGGCAAAGCTTCAGTGTCAGCCTTTCCACAGAGAGGCAGCTCAAGGGACCTAAACAAGACTGAGCTTTTTTTTTGCTGTGACTCTTGCCAACACACACATTCTTCAGGTAATTCTCAGTTTAGATTGAGACAACAAATACAGTACAACAGCTCAAAGACCTACAGCAACTATTGCACTCACATCTTAGTCCAGCAATAATCCTGAAAGCAACAGCTGCAAACTTCTTACCATGGAGCGTAGAATTTAATAAAGGTGATCCCCCTAGCAATGGTTGCATCAAAGTCTTTTTCAGAGAGAGAGAGCACTGCAGCTTGCACCTGAAAAAAAAGAAAAAGAAAAAAAAAAAAGTCAAAAATTTTTGTATATACAACATCAGCCTACTGAGCTTTTACCTTCCTAAAAGGGAAACTGGAATTGGAAAAGATAATATTGTTGGTAACATAAACAAGAGTAGCAGCAGCAGACCTGCCTTTTACTTCTCAGCTGCTTTCCTTCCCCAGAGAGATGTGTATTTTACACTGAATCTCATCCATAACTGAAGAAACAAAACTTTCCTATTTTCAAAGGATTTGCCTGTAGCCACATTTTCAGTAATTGTAAAAAAATCACGTTAATTTTAATACTATGTTTCAAGGAACAGTCCTTAGAGGAGTTGGCTTCAAGCACGTAATGGCCATCTGAGATTTTATTGAGGTATTCAAGGCACACAAGTGATGTCTCAAGAGCTGTTCTGTTCTTTCTTCCCCTGCATTGCATGCACAGAAAAAACTGTTACCAGAAACATAGATTTGCCTGTCAAGAGGACATCACAACACCACACTTGTATGGGTGCCAGGAAATGTTTCTACTCCTGATAATATCAGGAGCAAGGGACTGATGGGAGGAAAGCACATTGCTTGCAGTCTCATATGAGAGCATGGAGCTCTCATATGAGACTGCAATTTCATTTTTTGTGTGAGACCTTTAAGGGTGGGAGGGATTAAAAACAAATAAATGCACCTCATGGCCATATTATTCAAAATCAAATGAAAGAAAAGAAAAATAAGATCACAGCTGACAGTATTATCAATTCTATTTAACCCCAGTAAGTTTTGTGAAGCCAAAAATAAATTTGAAAATCGAAATTATCCAGTACCTTTAAACATTTCTGTAAGTAACTGTTAGTTCATGGAATTATTTCACTATGCTGAAGTATTCTTACCTCTAAATAATTATTTAGAAAATAGAAATTATACTTTTATACTTTCTAATTATTAAATAATCAGAAATAATTAAATGAAGTAAAATGTAAGCACTATGCTTCTACTCTGATTTTCCTAAATGGATATCTAAAACTGATGTTCCAAACATAATATACAATCTAAGATACAAAATTTGAAAACCTGATTAGTAACAACTTCCCCATGATTTGCACAGTAAAACAAATTTTAAAGATCTGTAGATTACTATCAGAAGAGCAATGTGAACTATATAACCACAAAAATAAATTTAATATCAGATATCTCAATTTTAGCTTTGTGTCTCAAAAAAAGACATCTAATGCAATCACATAATCTGAGCATCTGCTGGTCACACTGCTTTAATCCACCAGGATAATTTTTTAAATTATTTTAGCCATGTCTGGCAGTAAAGAAGTCTCATGAATGTCAAAGTACAGCTTCTATAAAAGGGCTGGCAAGTACTTGGGCTATATAAGACATGGGGGAATCCAAGTAGGGACTCAACACTGGGACACAAATTTGGAGTGGGAACTCATTGCTTTTGCCACCTCTGGTCAACTGATGGCAAATGCAGTCAGTGTTTGCTGGCTACAGGGGCTGGCCCCTTGTTTGAAAATTCATGACAACAAGGAGTCAGGGGGTCTGAAGATAAAAGTTGGAAGGACAAGTTGAGTCCTACTCTATGTCTAGTACTATTTGGCAAAAAAATCCCCCAACAATCCTTTTCTCCTTGTGTGTGTGCTGGTGAATGCAAGGCAGAAGTGGGAATTTGTGTCACATGTGGTTTGTGTTATTTCTATAAAAATAGAAAGACAACTAATTTCTTCCAGCATTGTACTAACACCAGCTCATTGGGATCTTCCAAATATGAGGTCAATTAAGAAAATAAAAATGAAAATTGCAAATCTGTGTGGTCTGTAATGTTTGGTAAGCCACTTTATGCAAGATGGATAATGCTGCTGGAGAAGTCAGCTGGGAAGGGTAATATTCTCCTGTAAGAAGCTGCATAGAAACTGTATTTATATTAATAATATTGTTGCCTAATTATCTATATCACAAAGGAGTGTAAATCCCTGTCCCCTATTTTATAGGCAGAAAGTATGTTCTGCACATTTAATGAAAAATTATGTTTGAAATCCATTCCCAGTTTCTCAGCCTCACCAATTTTTCATTCATCTCCAAGAAAAATGGCAGATGAAATGCCAAAGGGATTATAAAAGACAGAAAATTATATGACACGAATTACAATTGTACAAAGGTTATTTCTGTCAATTTCTTCACAACATAGGCCTGTAGCTCCAACAACCTAGATAAAAATAAGTCTCCAAACCCCAATGAGTTTTCTTGTCACAGGGCACAATATCTTACCGTATTGGTACTGGTCTTCATAATCTTTGTTCATAGTTTCTGCAAATAGATTTTTAAGTATAGAACCCTGGCTTTTTTGGGGGGTTTAGCACTGTGCACCATCCTCCAGGGTTCAAGTGATAATCTTGCAAGAAATGTTCATCTCTATACTGGTGAAATATGCTGTCATACAGACCCAGGTGTCAGCAGTTCCATGGGCCAAACAGACCACATTTATGTCTGTATCTAAATAATGTATTGCAACCATAAAATCGGAATTAGATTTTTTTTTTCCTTCTCCAATTCATCAGATTAGTAAAAGTATTTCTAGGATTTATTATCTGATTACTCAGAAAAATAACCAGGGAAGTATTTGGTACAGTTTACATCCAGAAATTGTCAAGCTATCAGAGAGAGAGAAACACATGGAAGACTCAGGCAGCTAAAACAGTCTGAACACCTTACATTTCTGCAGAGTGCAGGAGCACTTACCTCAACATGGGTGGGCTCTGCAGGTGGCTGTGGGGCTTCAACAGGTTTATCTGCTGGTGGCTCTTTCCCAGAGCTCTGTAGTTGGGAGTCCACATATTCTTTTAAAGAATCAAAATCCCTCTTCCCTTTGTACTGGTCACCCTACAATTAGCAAATAGTTTGTGCAACCTTCAATATGCAGTTGACGTAGCAAATAAATAATTACAAGCAAAACATAAGATTGCCAAGGGTAAGCATATAAATAATAAATATGATTATCTAGTTCTTAAACTTCTCTGTGACATTCCATTCACTCCATGTCTTCAGCTTTTGCCATAGATTCTTCAGTACCCAAAGGGAAATGAAAGGTATTTTAGAAATACAGAAGCAAATTTTTGAAACATTTCCACTGACCTTCTGGTCTCACCCTAGTCAACTTTTTCAAAGTTTTTTTTCTTTCTTTTTTTTTTTTTTTTTTTTAATCTAGCTCTACTACAAGGAACAATAAAATACCTACTGTGGTTTGGGTGTGGTCTCTGCTACCCTGTGAGCGGCTGAAAACCTTAACTTGCCTGTATCTGGACTACACAGTCAAATGACTGGAATCTCTGGCCTACAGACTTGCCACAACTCCTTGAAAAATCCAAATAGTAAGGCATTGCACTCTGGACACCTAAGTTCACCTGGGAGCAAGAGACAACAGCAGCTTGGTGCAGGGCAGACATTTCAATGGCACCACTCTCCCAAAAATATAATCCTATTTATTAACCTGCATATAAAGCAATCAGCCAGCCAGATCTTTGAGAGGCCACAGTTTACCTTGGATGCTGCCCCATATTTCAGGTACTTTCCAAATCCAGAGAACGAGACAATCAAGAGTTTGTCAGAACAAGAAATGAGAGGACTTGTGAGCAGCTTTTAGTCTCAAACCCACTGTCGGCCCTCTCCAATTTGGCTCTTGCATGATTGCCCTCAGGGCTGTCTGTGAAAATTAGTATTAATTTTCCTGTTCAGAAGAGAGAGCATATCTTTGAGGCATTACATATCCATTTTGGATAGAATTCTTGAGATGTGGCCCTGTGTGGTGTGGGCTGCAAGATGTATTTCCTCTTGCAGACAAGGACAGACATCTCTTCAAGTTTCCTTTATCATTGGAACTCTTCCTACACATTTTCCTTCTTTTGTAATATATAATGTCTCCTGTAGCTACTACCCCTTTCCTGGCACTGGGTGTCAATCCCTAAGGAGCAAGAAGCCAGTACCTGTTCGTTTGTACCCATGTCAGCAGGGCAGGGCAGGGTCAGGGTTCCTCACAGGGTATTTGCTGCATCTCACCAACAGCAGTGGTGTGATGCCAGACTTCAGTTATGGCAAAGGGGATGAAGGTATTACAGACAAGGCTGGATGACTGAATCAGTCCTCCTTCCCCTTACTGATCAGGAGATAGCTGCCAGACAGAGTTTAATGAATTTCTGGGTCACATTATAGGAAAATTGTTGAGGTTGTTCTGTGTTTTTTCAAATATGTTGTATCAGCCCATGAAGGAACATGTGATTTTGGTGGCAGTATTCCACCAAGGAATGCCACACTGCCAGCAGGGAAAGACAGTTTGATGTCAACTGAAATACATTGTTCAGATTTAAGGCTGAGGTTCAGCTTTACCAAATACAACAGTCGTGTTTTTTTTTTCTTTCGCTGCACAACTCCAAGGAACTCCAGCTTCAATTACTACAACGTTTAAACTAAAGTTTAATTAACTGAAAACCTCTAGCCTTGGACATGCCACCATGCTTGATTTGAGCACTTGCTCAGCTCCCAGTTGTGCTGCTGACGTGTGTGCCTTGAGAGGTCACAAGGCCGTGCACTCATGTGAACCTGGTTTGGATTCAAAACCGCTGTTTCATTTAAATTCCCTAGTGTCTGATCTTATAGGGGTGCTTATACCAAACCTCATATAGTGTGTACTTATGGCCAGTTTCCCTTTAGAATGCCAGAAAATTGCCACAAGCAGTGGCCATTACACTGTTTCAAGTAACAAAACTTAAGGTTGCTGATACTGTAAATGTTCAAAAGGGAATGCAGGATGAATGGGAGAAAACCCCCTCTTCCTTTGCTGCCATAATTTAGCATGTAAGAGCTAGAAGTGTAGTCCTGGGCTCTCTTGCAGGCCTGTTTTTAATATCCATTGAATATATTTAACTAATCTTGAAATTACTAAATATAGCATAAATAACACTACAATTTATAATATGTTTATTTACTGCTGTTCAGGTATGTGGTATTTACAAATACTTTATCTCCCCGTAATTTCAGAATATTTTAGTTCTCTGAATTGCTGCAAGGAAAAATGTCAAGTGGGCCCACGAGATTCTCACTTGCATGTGAAATGCGAGTGTCATGTGAAATGTTTGGGTTTATATAAGAAAGAAAATTTGCATCTTTAGACATCACTCAGCAGATGGGCACCACTTAGAGGTGAGAACCTTCTGATATGCATTGTGAAAATTACATACTTTATTATTATTTCTATTTCAGTTATATTTTTGTGTCCCATATGAAGCAAAATACTATGATAAAGTAAACCCTGAATTCTGTCATACAGCAGCATAACTGGAGATTCTGCTTACAGATTTATGAACATTATATCAGTTGTTTGCAAAACAGAGACGAAAAACCTTTAACTTTTATCTGTGGACAAAGTCTACCTCTTCTAATACCCAAATGAACATCCAACATCTTTTCTCTCACAAGCAGATTTTTTTTTTCCAGAATATAAGCATAGTCCAAATACTATTCAGAGAATCTTTTGCTGAACTTGCAGACTCACCTTTTCACCATTCCTAAACCAGAGGAGTGTGGGATAACCACGAACTTGGGTTTCAGAGCAGACTTCATAATGCTGGGTACAGTCGACCTACATTTTGGGAATAAAACCCAAAACCATTCAGTGCCTAAAATAAACATACAATAAGCATCACAGCCTCCCTCGTTTAAAAGCTCAGAAAAATACAGGAACAAGCAATACAAGGCTTGGCAAAACTCAGTACCAAGTACTGTCTTGAGAATGATTATGTCTGCCTTCCAACCAGTGGTTTGGTTATATAATTGGGAGGCTCTGTGTGTATTTGATTTATTTTTTTTTTTTTAAGGAGGTATCAGGGAGGGAGGTATGGCTAGAAGGAAGTAGTAGCAATTAAAAAGAACAATGAAGACATAATTAAATATTTCAATTTAAAAGCTAATAAAATCAGTACATTGACAATAAGACACAAAACACTAATGTGAGAGAGCTTTAAAGTGAAGACATACTGGCTCACCCATTTTTTAAAAGACTGCTCTTTAAAGACTTCAGAAGGGATGTCAACAGCTAGCAAGTGAACTGTGTTCCAAGGGAAGCTCCAAGTGCATAACAACATTCAATTATAATATGTCACAAACCAGGCTGTAAAGTTACTTGTTTGTAAGCTTTTCACTGAAGATAAATTCTAAAGATTAAACAGTGTTAAAACACTATTCCCCCAGATTAGATGAAGGTCATGGTTCGACCTTCTTAGAAACAGTTGTGTTTCCTGTTTACTTACAGACTTAAAATCTTAGCCAAGACATGCTTCAAGATATATTTCACAAGCTATACAGTTACATAAAATTGTCTAGGCATCATAGTGGAGGTACTAAATAGCAACTCTCAGTAATACAAACTGCAAACATCACAGACAACTGATTAAAACAGAAACTTTGGAAATTTATTGTTTATTTTTCTCTGGGTAACTCAGAGAAAACTCTGGTACTGTTCTCAGAGAACAGCAACTTCATAAAGATACTTAAGCGACAATTTCATCAGACAGCAAACAAGGGTATTGAAAAGTACAGAAAGATTCAAAGGAGAAAAAGCTTCTGACATTCCATTCTCAGAGGACATCAAACTTTATATCCACCAGGTCTGAACATATATATATATATATATATATGCACACACATATATATATAATTTGCATGTCTTCTCTGCAGTTCAACTGTGCTTATATATATATATATATATATATATATGTACATGTCTCCTCTAAAGTTCAACTCTGCTGGCCTGTGCTGTACAGCATACCTGAATTAACAGATTTTCAAAAGCATTAAGAAAAAAAAAGTCAAGCTCATCACTCCTACTGCAGCTGAAAGTGTTGCGAGGGCAGAGGCAGGGGAGACAGCAGAGGGAGAGTCCCTCTGCAGGACTGACAATACTGCTGCCAGGCAGTATTTCAGGTCAGTGGAACCACTGTGAAAGCTTAGGGACATGGAAGTTGAGCCCAGTTCGATTTCCATGGTTGGCAGAAACAGAGGGATTCCCATCATGAGCCACCTGGACTTAGGTATGGGTCAGCAAATAAAGCCAGTAACTGCAATTGCTAGACCACCTCCATACCTCTGCACAGTAGTCACTCCACGTACAAGTAACAAACTCCCATGGTAAATACACCACAGAACCTGGTTATCAACCCTAAGGGAAATAGTAAAGCAGGACAAGATATCAATTTTTAAGGTGAAAGACCCCCTGAAACGTTTTAAAAGTTTTATGGGGAAAAAGAGGAAAAAAAATCAAAACCAACAAAGAAATAACTCATCATAAATACCCAGCAAGGCTAAAGCTTGCTAAGGAATCCAATGCTGCAAAGAACAAATTAGAAGTCACTTTCCCACTCAAAATAAACACTGAAATCTATAAAGTTCTGACAAAGCAACTGAATAATAAAAAACAAATCTCAAAATATGATTTCCTGCATCTGAAATATCAGACTTATTCCCAGCTCTCTGAAATGCAGAGGCAGCTCTGTTTGTAACAAGGCTTTGCTTAAAATGGGGGAGATCCTGTTAACTGTGGATGTGTGAGAAAAAAAACATGACCGTCTCAAAACAAAAATACAAACTATGACTATAAAAGGATTTAAGAGGTGACAAACAAAACAATTGTGATTTGCAAATCACAGCATAAAAGGCATGATTCTTGGCTGAAATGTATGTTGACAGAAACCGTATTTTCAAACGAAGAGTGCTTTACCTACCTTACCAATTTTGACAGCTTCCGAATGCTCAAAGACTTGAGCCAGCTGTTCCCAGGTTGGGGCCAAAGCCTTGCAGTGACCACACCAAGGGGCAAAGAACTTGATGAAGTGATTACCTTTTAAGTAAAAAAAAGAAAAAAAATCAGCTAATTTGGAATTAACTTGGCTGCAATTAAAGCCTAATCTCAGTCTGCAAATTTATCATGGTATTTCCTGAGTTAAAGATAGGAAACACTGTGAATCAAAGGCCAGGACAAAATACTTCAGCAATTAGGTTTTCAATACTGCATGCAGTCCCACAGCGTTGCCAAATTTCCTGAAAATTCAAACAGCTTCACAATCTCAAGCCAACAAGTGAGCTATTAAAACTGATACTTTTAACCCAACCATTTACCTTAGTGTTTAATTATTCCATGTCAATCAGTTGCCCTGCTACTGAATAGAAAAAACTACCAAGGAATATATGTTGATAACAGCAAAAATTGAAGTATTAAACTTCAGCTTCATGCAATTGTGTTTCCTAAGAAATCTTTAGTCCGTGAATTAACTGAAAAATGTTGTTCAGTTTTCCGTTCTTCTTGTTCTGCCCTGATCTTTCAATTTTCATGTCAACTACTCAGAAATATCTGCCTTTAATAGATGTTTGTGGCATTTTATGCAGGGGAGAGTCCCTGTGCTATCTCCTACTAAGGTTTAGTTTAAAAGTATATATTATTGATTGCAGAGTACCAGAATATGCAATTTCTTTCAATTTAGATTAATTGATTCACATTGCTGCACATTTTTGCTAAACATCAAGGCAAGGCTCTGTTAAATGAAATAAAAATGAACTTAATTAAAATAAGGGAAAAAAATCAATTTGCAGGAAACACCAGCAACTGGAGGACAGCTCTTTTTAGCAAAATTATTCATAATCCTCTGAAGACTGCTTTGGGGCTGGTATTGAATTTATTTCTAGTTTGAAGGCTTGTCCACAAAAGAAGGTCAGAGGAAACACCAGACTTGACTGGTCTGCACATGGAAGATTTTCAGACTGATTGGCATGCCCTGTATTGGTCAAGTAAACTGCAAAATTAAATTTCCCATAAATTAATAAGAATACTAGTCAAAATCAGCTATTCTTTACCATTTACTCTGACATGCTCTCCTCCATAGAAAACAATATAATTTATTTTTGTCCCAGAGCAGCAAAAGATAAAAGGAAGCTATTTAAGAAGTCAACTTTGCTGGTGTAACTGCTGAGGCTCACATTAGCTTTAAGCACTGAACTTCTCATAACTGAAATCAGGAGAGGACAACAGATTTATAGACGATTGTAAACATGTTTAACCATCACATATGACCATGAGAATGGCTCCTCTATGAAGGCCAATGGATACATAATAAAAACGCTAAAGCATTTACAATGCACTGAACTTTACAGTTTGAGTAGGTAGTTAAGTTGACAAATGCTTAGCATATCGCTGATGGCTTAGAGGAAAATTAATTGAGAATTTTGACTGAATTCCACATTAAGCCAGACATGCTGGGAAATTTTAAGTTAGCTGCACAAAATGCTTTTTTACACATTAAAATATTTCTAATGAGCTAATGGTTACTTTAAGAAGTTCTAGTTCAACCTCCCTAGTGATTTCAAATGGGCAAACATTTAATTTTATCCAGCCTTTCTTTTTCAGATAACAGATGGAGAAAGTAGAATTCTCTATTGTCATGCCAGCCCTAAGTTTGTATTCTAAGATTTTGCTCGTTGTCTAAAAAAACATCATGTGAGTGGTAAAATTTCCCATATCAGGTATCCCTCCTGGCATTAATTTTAAAGCTTCCAGACAAAATATTTTTTTAAATAGCCCGACAGACAAAGTATTTTGCCCACATTAAATTCTGGAGGAAGGAAGCTAAACAATATCAAATAAAAGGCCAGACTGGAGTGGGATGGGGGCTGGAAGGAGGAAGCGGGTGGATTATCCAGAATAACAGTCTGGGAGGAAGAACAAGCCAGCACCTAGGGAAGGAGGAAATGGGACTTGCAAAAACACAAAGTGGCAAGGCTGTGACTGAGCAAGGAGCTCAGGAAGAGACAGTTTAGCTGAGCAGGCCCCACGAGCTTCTGTCCTGGAGTTAGGAGCCATAATTTTACTGCCTTCTGAGCACTGTACTTCAACTTTCCCATAGCCTGCAATATGCAATTTAACCAGCATTTTTACATAGTTTGCATTTCATCCCCTTTCACTACATATTATTGTAAAATAAAATGGGAAGGAGGTACTCTGAAAACTAACATTTCTGGTGCAAACTTCCCATTACTAATGTATCTGTAACTAAGTTTGTCTTGTTCAGAAAAAAGGTTACCTTCTGCTATGTGCATCTTGAAATTGTCTGCTGAGAGTTCATACATTCCTTGCTTAGGTTCAGGGGCTTTTGGTGGTTCCACATCAGATTCAGGGTCCTATTCATGAGAAAAATTAACTTTTATTTCTCTTCTACAGCAAATACACAACATTTTTTTCTTGTATCACACCATTCTGTGATAGTGCCATAGACTCTGAAATTTTATACTCCTAAAGCAATGTCCTTATTTAGCTTGATTTAGGTACCTAATGTTTTCTAAAAAACAACTACATGAAAGCAAAAGATGAAAAGGACTGCCACATAAAAGAGAGTTACTAGAGTCTGTAACTGTGCTCTAGTACAGTCACAGGACACATATTGCATCACCATATATTAACACACTTAAATTATATAACAGTGCCTCCAGAGCATCACACATCAGCCACAACTGCCATCACACCCATTTCAGTAGTCTCTGAGCTATTTAAAAATAGTGCAAAAGCTACTTTCTGCTCTCCTAGTGCCAGAAGGAACGCTGTCTACCTAATGGTTCCATGAAGACCACAACAATGGAAATAGAGCAAACACTTAATATATATCACTTGCAAGAAATTCATGAGCAAAAGCAAGTGAATACTTTCTAGACTCCAACCCCAGAGCTGAAAAGATTTTTTCAGGAACCCCAAAGTGTATTTCTTAAAATAATTTAGCATTTAGTGTTCAATTATTAAAAATACCATGTTGGTTTAAATGAAATCACATTCTAACTGTGGTTCAGCAATCACTAAAGTATCTCTTGATTAGAAATAGCAATTAAAAATTTAATTTTAGGTGAGGCTTGGCTCCCATATGTGAATGATACCCCTAAACTTAAGGATTCTCCTAGTGATGGTATTAGCTTATCTTACTTAACTGATCATTTAAAACCTTTTCTTTAGGCCACAATATTATCAGAAAGTAACTCAGCCAAAGATGGTATCCGTGTTCCAAGAGCTAATTAAGCCCAACACAAATGCAATTTATAATGCATTAGAGCTAAATTGCTTTTCTTACTCTAGAAACATTACGGCCTACAGGTGTCAAATGAATTGACAGCAAGAACCGTAACTTAAAATATCAAAAGTAAAAGCATTAAAACTGCATTATGTACTGCAATTTTAAAAGCAGGAAACAGAGTGCAGGTCACAGGATGACAGTTTTAATTACTGCTCTGACTTATATGTAACCCATTTCAGATTGATACTGCAACCTGACTTGTATTCTCAGGAGCAGATTTCCTCCTGGAAATTGAAACCTAACTTGAAGAAATGATAGATAAGTAAGCCTGCAGAAGAGATTATTTCCTTTAGACTTACAGATGGCTCCTCATTTAGTTTCTCCAACATCCAGTTTTCCAGTGCCTGGAAGTCCCTAGGGCCTTGGTATTTCAGAGGTTCTTGTCCTGGTTTAAGCAACTTTAGCCTGAAGGGTCAAAATATAGAGAAGAGTGAGGCAAAAATTTTCACACAGGAAACATTCCCAGAAAGATAATGTGCTTTGCTAATCCATGGCAATGCATCTTAGGCTGCAGTAATAGATCTCTTGACTATTAACATCAGCATCAGGCACCCCTTTCAAATTAAAGTGTCATGGCTAGAACTTAGAATCCTCTTTCTTTCCCAGGTAAGCTTTAAGGAGATTTTTAAAAAAGAAAATAAGACACAACAAGTTAAAAATCAGCATAGTGTAATATTACTTTGATCAATAAGAAAGAGAAATTTAAAAATAGCAGCATTCAGTTCTATTAATCCTATTTCAGTTTGTCAAAGAGCAACAATTTTGTTTTGTTCACCTCTCTCCATCACCAAAGGAAAAATATCTAGTGCTTATTTTTCCAGGAATTTGTTTTTCACCTCTTGTCCCCTGACAGCTGCTGTAGTGTAGGGCTTGTCATGTGGTATTAAACTGATTAAAACACAGAGACAAGTCAATAGGACAAGAAGATAAGTGACTGCTTGTAGGCATCCACACTTCATGATTGTAACATTCAATAATCGCCATCAAAACTACGTAAAGCTTCTACTACTAAATTTTAAGTTAGAATTGGAAGTATATTTAATAAAGGTGTGATACTGAATTCTAGTCTTATTCTAGTCTAGACCTAGTCTTATTTTTTAAAGCAAATCAGAGTTTCAATTATTACAATCACCTAGCCCTCAGTTCCCCTTGCTAAGCCGTCATTTCGTACTGCCTCTTTAGTTTCTTGAAATGTTTTTCTCTCTCTTCTTCTTCCACAGTTGGAAGAAATGAACATATGAAAGTGTTGAAAAACCACATGATGCAAATACATTCAAAAGTGATAGGAGCTCCCACTGTTTTTTCTGTTCAAGGTACGCTTGAATGTTCCTTGTAATGACAGAAAGTCAGAATAATTAAGGAAGAAAAAGAAATGAAAAAGAAGAGCATCTAAAACACACCTCCTGGCAATACTTTTGAAAAGTAACAGAACAAATTCAGGTAACATCTTAAAAAAAGCTAGCTGCACCTTTATTTTCTGCAAACAAGGTTAAGTTTTCTGTAGTTCAGTTGAGCAAGTATTTCTTTTGCAGCACCAAATAATCCTGAGACAACTGTGATAGGAAGTGCAGGGACCTGCTTAGCCATTTTTTCTCTGAGGGGATGGAAAGAGGATGCAGCCTTTCCTTTGACAGGTGTTTGGAAAAGCAGTGTAGGGATCAGCATAACATGGACTTGCAACAATACCTCTGCCTAAGGAAGCTGTGAAATTTCCCTTGCTGGAGGTTTTTAGAAACAAGCTCGTTCAAACCTGAATCAAACAGGAAGAAATCTGATACCATGATTTCCCCTTCATTGCTATATTTCTATACCTAGCAGATAAATGCCTTAATATTTTTAACTTTTCAAATAGACAAAAGCAAGCACTAGCTATTTCTAGACGTTCAATGACCTTAAAGAGGAGGGAGAGGGAAAAACCCTCCAGCAATTACACATCCATTGATTTTTTCCTATTCAAAAATCTCTGCCACTCTATTTTAAGAGGAACAGCACTATAATATAATCTATGCAAATAGGCAACAACCAATGGTCACTTCTGGAGATATGAAAACTGTAATATTCAGTCTTGAATATTCAAGAGCTTTAGAGCTGTAATATTCATTCTTTCTTGGTATTTGTAGTGGAAGCAAGACACACACTGCCCTTAAGGACAATTTCTATCTCAACAAGGACTATGCTATTTATAACTCTCAAATTCTACTCAGTCACACACGTCTGTGTCCAAGTGGGTGCAGCCAGGAGCAAATGAAAAGTTCAGGCTGTTGCTGGGGTTGGCAAAAACACCAGACAAAGCAAGCAAAGGGAAGGAAACTGCCTGAAAAATACAGGCTGTGGAAGGGTTATAGATAATCATCTGTACAATCTCCACTTATCCCCACTAAAATGAGTAATTAATAAAGCAGTTGAAAGGCTCCCATCCATATTTGCAAGAAGCTTTAAAGAAGACACGAGTGAAAAAGAAATCCTTTTGCCCCTTTTTTGTCAGTTTAAAAGGGAACACACATCTAACCCAAAGGCTTTACCTATCACAGATACTCTACACCATGTTCTGCCTACCAAAGCTGAGGTAGTAAGAGATACTTTTATCCTTGATAACAGCATAAAAATAGCAGCCTTAAAATACTAGACCAATATAAGCAAATTTAGCTAGAAAAAAATCCACATGATATCACCTCTGCTATGCTAAGTGATACTATTCATTTATTGCTAAGTTCACTAAAAATCTAAGAGACCACCTTATCCTTATAGGCAATTATGAAGGAATGCAGTGTACTGACAAACTTGTGGCAAGTTACTTTTAAAAGCACTGTTAGTAGAAACCAGCTCTGTCATGCATATCACAGCTGCACAATGTACTGTTGGTTCAGAAAGAGATACTCCCACACAAAAGAACAGGAAAATTCTGGACTTCAGTTAAACACAGCCACCTTCCAAGACATAAAACAGCTTCTTGAAAGAAAAAAAAAAAAAAAAATCCAAAAAGTACTAAGTATCACATGATATTTGGCAACATTGCAAAAAGGCTTAAAATTAATATAGCAGGTCCAAAGGGCTACAAAGAAACTCAGTAAAAATATAGCTTAGAAGTTGGCTTCAAGAAATTGGCAGAGGATAATGGAAAACTAAAAAAGAAAAATAGGAGCAGACTTCTTTCTATACTTACGTAGGGTATCCTCGCACGCCAAATTCAGAGCACAGTGGAACATCTACAGTACAATCCACTTTAACAACATAGACCTGGGGGTTTTCCATGTTGTTGTATTTATCTCCCAAATCATTCCAAGTTGGCTGGAGGCGCTGACAATGTCCACACCTGTGACAGAAGGAACAAGATACTGTTTAATAGCTGCTCCCACTTAGAGGGGAATGAACCCATGGAAAAGTCATATGCAGAACAGCGATGTTGATAAATTTAAACAAATTTTAAAATCAAAAGTAAAATCAGTTGCATCAGAAATCTTCCATACCCAAGCACTGTTACACTAAGCAACAGCAAATGCTATTAAGAACTGTAGCATGCTGCAAACACATCTTGTGTAAAAATCATCAAGATTTGAGAACCTCTTGCTACTCTCCTTTTACAGTACAAATCCTATGAACATCCCCCAGATTACCCCCGAATTTTGTAAGGCTATTAATCAAAGCACTGTCAGTCTTTCAGCTTTCTAGAAAAATCCTGCAAGGTTGCCTAGATTTCTTCACATTCTAATATTTCAAAAATTCTCTTTTTTTAGCAAGTAGGTAAGAAGATAATAGTTTCTAGCCTCTTTGTAATGCCACTTGCACTTCTATGCTTCAAAGGAATTGTAACACACAAGTCAAGAAACATCTCATCCAATTTCGTGATACAGTTTCCCAGAAGTTTGATGACCCTTGTGGGTCACTTCAAATTCAGAATATTCTGTGAAAATCTTCCCATCCTATGCTCTGCCCCAAGAGGATGCCATCAACTCTTTATATTTGCATACACACAGAAAACTGGCCTCATATAGTTCCTATAACAGCACCTCCCCAGAAGTAAAAAAAAAAAAAGTTATTATTCTTCTCACTGTCTTCCTAGTCTTTCAAATCATTATAGCAATACTCTATTCCTCAAAGTATGATGGAAAGTTTTAAGGAATGTATTTTAATTTCTCTTTAACGCCAACCCTCCAAGATATCTAAGAAGTGCAAAGTTGGAGTAACAGAAAACATTCTCAGACTGACAGTATGAAAGCAGTTATTGCTTCGCATTTACAACATGTAAATACAACAATTTACATGTTGTAATATGTAAATTGCTACAACATCTACTTTGTAAGTAACAAATCACCATTAGGACTTTGGAGAACTTTGCTTGGACTTAAAATAGTTTCACTCATACAAATGATTTTGAGTACACGTGTAGAAAAGTTGAATGGATTCACACCTTTCTATCCTGAGATCATTAAGAGAAAAAAAAACAACCAAACAAACAAACAAAACAAACCCCTTAGATTCACTTTAAGATAAAAAATTTTTTTCTGATTTTAATAAGGTCCTGTAACAGTCAGGTACAGTGAGTCACACATGATCCCATGATGTGGCTGAATACAATCTCTTATGTGATCTTGTTCTGAATTGTCCTGGTGAAGGGATACAATATGTTATTATTAAAATCAAATATTCCTTAAATATTGAACTTCCATAGTCAACTCCTTCACAGAGCTTGAATTAAGAGGAGGATTTTGGATACCCTGACCCTTTCCCCTAGCAGATGCAGTGATTCAAAACACCAAACGAATACTGGCTGGTGTTAGAGAACAGAGCATGGAAAACTAGGTAAGGGAATCCCAATAAATTAACCTCCTGTTTTTTAAGCACAACAGAGCTGCCTTGTCCCTACCTAACACTGTAATCTCTGCTATACACACCCCTTTCCTTCCTTCTTTGGATTATGGAAGCTAAAACTGAGACTAAAGCAGGAAAAATATTCCTATCTGAAACAGTAATCAACTAGTTAGTCATTCTCAGTTTGAAAAAAAACCAAAACAGCATTATATAGAAGGAAATACATGACAGTCCTGAAAACACTTTTTCTGAAGTTTCCAAGGAAATATATATAAAACCAAGGAGGGCAAAATCAAAGAGCAAGACCATGCAATATCACATGCTTCCCTCAACCCCATGCACCTACAAAGTCCTTTACAGCTGCCACCCTACAACACATTAGTGGGGCTGGAGGAGCTGCTGGGGACAGTGGAGACCTGGGTGTCAATGATGAGTTCTGCTCTTTTAATCCCTACATGGGCTAGAAAGTTGTAAGCATCCTCAACCTCCACTGACAAGCACAAATGAAGATCCAAAAGAGACTAACACAGATGTTTCTGGGGGCCTCTAGTAGAGCTTGAGCTCTGCAGCCAGCAAGGGCAGCTCCTCAGCAAGGTACAGCTCAAATCCTTATCCAGTTAAAAACATAGAAATGGTATAAGCAGCCCAGGACCAGTCTTGCTCTGCACAGAAGAATTCAACTGAAGTAAAATCCGGCCAGCAGAGTTGGATTCAACAACAACGAACTCTGGTGATCAATTCTGCTGCAGCTCAGTGGACTTGGCAGGTTTACCAAGTAAGAACATATGTCAAAAAGCCCTGTAAGAGTCAAAATAACAAGTGAAACTACTCAGTTGAGATTCCTTCCTGCTAAGGAACCAGGGGAACCCCACTCCTCTGTAGAAATGCAAATAGCATGGCAGACAACTTAAGAATACTTTGCACCACCAAGAGAGTAACCTGTTCTGTCCCCAGGTGTAGCTACCAAGTGGGACAGCCTTCTGAACACAAACCTTATGACATCTGATGGCAAGTGACTTGGAATGCTCTCTTCTTGGAGTATCCTGCCATCTTTGAAACAAATGTAGGACCTCTTGCCTACTACCACTGATTCAGAGTGAGGTCCTCAGCAACATTTGTTTCAAGAATCTGGAAGAGAAGGGCGGTGTTGGCCCTAACCCAGCTTTTACTGGTAGCATTGATGATGCAAGATTAGCAGCACCCACATAAATCTGAAAGAAAATCCCAGCTGAATGTTGGGCTGTTTGCCTTGAAACTACAGACAACAGCCTGTGGGAAGCATTAGGAGATTAGCACATCACCTCAGAACAGGGTAAGAGGCTCTAACATAGACTCCAGGACTGTCAGGCTGCCACCCTGATCCCACTGACAATTAAACTCCTGGTGTGAATATGCACCTCTCTCAAGTACTTGGATGTTCCCTTTGTTCTGCTCTTCCCTTGGACCTGAAACCTGGCCCTATTGCTGCATGTCAGGAGCCAGACATCCAGACCAAGGGCCCTGAAGCCAAGAACCAGAGATCTGGAGGATTTTCTAAGGATGAAGAGAACACCCAGAGAAGCTGAAACAAATCTGGTAAACAACACAATTCCCTCACACTTAAGCTGGGCAGAGATCCTCAGCCCTCCCAAGGGCACAGTGTGATCCAACCCTGCAAGGCCAGCGCTCCCTTTGATCTGTACTGAGGATGTGCAGCATATACTGGATTCTGCAACTGCCCTTTTGGCAGAGGGTCTCCTACAGTGTCTTGCGACAGGAGAAAGCTCACCTGCTTTTAGGGATGCCTGTGAAAGAGTCAGTCAAAGTGTGGACAGACACAGATACCACCACCTGAGTACAGAAGAGAACAGAAGCACTCCTGCTCTGCACGGGCATTTCTTAGGCCTTACTGCACTCTCAGGCAGAAGTCCTTCACCAGCAAGTCAGGCGTCCTCCACTTTTGTGATCTTCAGAGAACAAAGGCATCTGCTCTTTCAAGCTTTTACTTAACATTTTCACATGGCATAAATAAGTCAATGTTAATAACAAAAAAAAGTTTTCAAAGGAAATGCTTTCCTGCTATGGATTTCAAAGACTCTCAGACGCCTAAATGGCACCACGTAGCAATGGATAACTTTGGATCAAAACATAACTTTTGCACATTGTTCCCTTAACTTTATTTTATGTAGATTAAAGAAATTTTGGGAGGGAAAAAAAAAAGTAAAAAAGAAACCTAACAACCCTAACAACAGAACTCCCAATAACATCTAGTGGATATCAGTAAGATAAAAAAGGGTAGGGGAAGAGGCAAAGAGAAGAATATGAACAACCATGAGAAAAACCCAGAGGTGAGAAGTACCGCTGCTCTTGACTAGGAATATCCAGTAAAGCACCATTCCCTCGTTCATCTTAAAGACTCTCGCGCCAAAAGTACCAGTCCAGGACTAAAGCCCAGCGGGTCTCTTGCAAACATAATTAACTCACCAGCTCCCCTACGGATACCTGTGGCCTCGGGGACAAAACACGGTGGTTTAACACAACAAATTTACCCTTAAATTTCGCGTATGCAAAGAGAACACAGATTCTGCAATGAGAGCATCTGCGAGCTTGGGCACAGGACAAGTAAGTGACGGTGGCCAAGCGGCACCAGCTCTCGGTGTCTCTGAGGCACGCCGGAGCGGCTCCCCCGCAGCCCCGGCCGGGGGCGGCTTAGGGCGCCGATGGGTCGGACCTGATGATCTCAGAGGTCTTTTCCAACCCAACTGAGCCCGTGACTCCGTGACGGCCGCCGAGGCCCGGGCCAGGCACACGCGGGGGTCCCGCTCCCCCTTCCCGGCCCTTCCCGGCCCCGGGGCTGCCCATCCCGCCGGTCCCCCCGCCGGCCCCGCCGCGGGCTCGGGGCAGCGCGGCCCTTGGCCTCCCGCCGGCCCGGCCCGGCCCGCGCCTCCCGCCGCCACGTCAACGGGGCAGCGGCGGGCGGAGCCGGGCCGGGCCGCGCCGCGCTCGGGTACCCACCACGGGGCGAAGAACATGACGAAGTGGGGGGCGGCGGCGGCGCCGTGCCGCAGCATCTCCGCGCTGTAGAGGTGCCGCCCGTGCGGATCCTCCGCCGCCGCCGCGCCCGGCCCCGGCTCCGGCTCCGGCTCGGCCCGCGCCGGGCGGCCGCAGAGCACGGGGCCGAGCGCGGCCAGGGACAGCAGGCGCCACCACGCCGGGCCGGAGCGGAGCGGAGCCATGGCAGCGCCGGAGACACAGCGGGCACAGCCCCGGGCGGCCGCCGCCGCCTCCGCCCCGCCCGCGGCCCCCGCCCCCGCCCGCCTCCCGCCCGCCCTCCCCGCGCACCCCCGCCCGCACAGCCGGACCCTCCTGTCTGCAAATACACCGTTCTGTAAAAGCGGGGTTTGTATACCACGCGACATCTGTTTTTTTTAATGTTCTATAGTAATTAAATTGCTTTATACATCCATATGAAAGTTTAAAATAATTGCAGATTTTATATTTTTAATGCACAAACATGCTAATTTTAGAAAATCCTTAATGTTATAAATTTATTTAAATACCATATAATAATATTATTAAATGCCACATTTAATAATATTATAATAATATGATAATTTAATAATATTATAACTTAATAATATTATATTTTATTTCTATTGATCCATAAATCTATATTAGAATTTCAAACAACAGCAAATTTTCCATCTTTTTTTATACACAAACTCATTTCTGGAAATAAATAATTTTATAAAGGCCTTAAAATATTATTTCTATAACACATAAAATCTGTTTTATATTATATATTAGCTATATGGATCCATGGATTTATATTAAAATTTCAAAAAATAATTTTGGGGTATATATTTACACACGCACACATCCTGTAATGAAGCTTTTCGTACCATAAATGACTGATGAGAATGCAGGTGTGGTGGTAGCAGCCAGGTCAGTAATGGTGCTGTGGCGCTGGGAGAAAGCCTGGCCCCTGAGGCTCTCAGTCCCAGCTCCATGCCCAATTGGAAAGAGGTCTCCGTTCCCTTGGCTTGGTTCCCTTACTTCTGACAGAAGGGAACAAATGGGTGCTTGCACTGCTTGAAGGTTTTTGAGCTGCAACAGAGTAACAATAATCAGTAAACTGTAATAATAGCAGCAGTAAATAATACAGCAAGGAGATCAATATGAGGTAGGTGCAAACAGCTACCTCATATCAAGGTATCTCCCAATGTAACAACATAACATTTGGAGAAGTGGGTTGTATTTTATGGAATCACAGAATGATGCGGAGTCAAAGGGACCTTAAAGATCACCTAGTTCCAAACCCCTGCCAGACCTCCCACTAGAAAAATCCCATCCAGCCTGGCCTTGAACGCTTCCAGGGATGGAGCATCCACAGTTTCTCTGGGCAACCTGCTCCATGGCCTCTCCACACTCACAGTAATGAATTTCTTCCCAATACCTAATCTAATTTAATCTAAACCTACCCTCCTTCACCTTAAAGCCATTACCCTTGTCTTATCATTCCACACCCCTGTAAAAAGTCCCTCTCCAGTTCCCTTGCAGGTCCCCTTTAGGTACTGGAATGCTATTCCAAGGTATCTCCAGAGCCTTCTCTTCTCCAGGATGAACAACCCCAACTCTCTCAGCCTGTCTTCATAGGAGAGGTGCTCCAGCTCCCTCAGCATCTTTGTGACCCTGCCATGGGCTTGTTCCAACAGGCCCATAACTTTCTTGTGTTGGACATCCCAGAGCATTTCTATAATTGCTTCTATTTTAATTATTTTCCGTTTAGATTTGAACTACAAGTCATTGAGCTTGCGATAGCAAAGTGGGTAATAATCAGGGATTCACCTTGTACACTTTTATGAAAAACTAAATAATTCATCATGCACATGTGCACTCAGACACATATCTGACCTTTGTACCTGCAACCTGCAGCAGTCTGTGTTGGTGTAATATCAGGGCTCAAAACCAGCAAGACAGGCTCATCCTGGCACTGCTCTGCTCACTGACAAGCTGCTGCTTGCAGTTAAGTGCCCAGACATGTAAAGTTCACTTCAAATTTTGTCCTCCAGACTCCTCCTTCCCCGCATCATCTCATCACTGAACTCTTCACTCTAACATCCTCTCTTCCACAGGACTAACACAAGGAAGGACCTGGCTGTGCTGCCCATGTACTTGTGTAACGTCCAGCTCATTTCCTGGGCTGGTTTTTGCTTAGAGCCTACATAGAGCAACTCTTGGTTGCTCAGCTCACTTTTATGCCACAAAGGCCATCCTTAGAACCAACAAAAATAATTTCTTAACTCCTCCCCCCTCCCAAAAAAAAATTAGAATGAGATGTCTTTTCTTTAAAAAAATTAATTGCTTTCTAAAGCTATTATCTGCCTCAAAATCAGTCTTCAAAAATGCCTCATTATGTATGCGTGGAACAAAAGACTCAGACTTGAAGCAAAAGACTCAAACTACACTTACTGCAAAGCTAGAAGAAAGGACAAATCTAGGGTGTCCAGAAAAGTAGCTAATCAACTGAATCAATTTAATTTCAAATCACTAAGATTAAATACAAAGCAGTAGCCCTTTCTTTAAACAAAGTTTCTTTCTGTGGTATTTAAATTAAGTGATTGACTAAAAAAGTGATGCTTTTAAAAAAGAAAAAAAAAAAGACAAGCGCAGATTATTTCCCTCTTCTGCATATGAAAAAGGCCAAGAAACCCCCTAAATGAAAAGGCAGTATCAGAAAGGGTGAGAATGACTAATTTTAAGACCTTGCAGAATACAAGTGTCATACAACCAGGTGAGTTGTCTAACCACAGAAAGTACCTCCTGTTGTTAAGAGAGCTGTTTCTTTTCCCCAAGAGTATATTTTTGATCTGCTTTTTCTCTGTACATTTACCAAACTTAAAAATAGACTTTTAAATTACAGATCCTCTTATCTTAATTAAAAATTGACTAATTAAAAGCTATTTTAAAATAATTTTAAATGAATGTGTGGAAATAAGACTTCCATCTAAGGTACATACCACAGAGAAAGGGATAGCAATACAACATCACTTTCAGTAGAAATATGAGTACAACATAAAAAAACATTCCCTAGAGGAACGGGTACAGATTGTAGTTAAGCTCTTGTAAATTAGCCAGAACTCCTACTAGGTCAGAACTGCCAATAAGAATTATTCTTTCTCTGAGACTACTTCTTTCCTCTCCATAAAATGCTTGTAAGTTTAATATTGCTTATATAAGTTAGTTTTTCCTGCTTGCTGATTTGCATTTTGATTAAAACTCAATTACTTTGTCCACCACCTCACTCCAGCTCCCTGCTCCCTCTGCCTGTCCCAGAGTAAATGTTATGGAACACCAACATCAACCACTTATGCTTGCTGCAATTGCTTCTCACTGGTCAGCAGCTCACAGCAACTCATTTTGGGTGAGAACATGCATCTGGAGGTAAAAAACATTAGGAAAGACAAAGTTACTGATGGTAGCTGATGGTTGCAAAGACTGATCTAGACTAACTTCCAGGAAATTGCCAATATACAGCAATCAGCCCACAATATTTATAAACATGAGGCTCATCCCTGGATGTCACAGTCACTGCTGATTATGAAGCCCAGTGAATCCTACAGCCCCTGTGCACATATGCCATCTCCCAGTGTCCTCCCAATATTCTCTAGATCCCAGTTCTGGAAGCACAATCTCAAAATCTTTCTAGAGAAATAACCCTGATACCTCAAACCTAGCCCACTGCCTCTTAACTCCTCATGCAGCCAGATCCCTCTGACTAAGAGGCACCACTTTAGTCCTGGTGGAAGCTTTGACCTGCAGAGGTCAAACAGGAAAAACAAATTATTTATCTACATGTGCTTGGCCAAAGAAAGCCTTCAGTGGGGTTGTATGTGCTCAGGGCGGCAATGCATAGGTCTGATGTAAATGCTTTGTAGGACCAAGGAGCCTAGGACTGAAAAAGACCTCTGAGTGGATAATTTTAGTCCTCATTCTGCCAGATAATAGCATCATACACTCCTATTTGTAAATTTTCTCATCTCTAGTTTAAAACAAGCAAAAGGTTGGAGGTTTTTTTGCCTACCCCTCTTTGAAAGTTAGTTCCTTGCCTAGGATTATGAACTTTTTCATAGTCAGCCTATATTTACTTATAGCTTATCCATATCAGGGCATTCCTCTGCCAGCATTGTCTTTTCAATGAAATACTCTTTTCCCCTCTGACAGTATTTAGAGGTAGCAGTGACATCCTTTCTCTCTTTTGTTCTGCTAAACTAAACAAGCCAACAGCTCCCATTCATGCCTGAGCACCATACCACAAATCTCCTGCACAAATCAGACTGGCAAATAAAAACAATCATTCATCCTCTCATTCATTCCCACACAGCTGAGCAGCAAATGTGTGTTCTAACACTTGCACAGCTCAGTCGTCTTACCCCCAGTGTTAAATGCATTTCAGAAATGGGACTTATATCTAATCTGAGAGTTTGACTATTTTGCAGATGTTTCCCTTTCCATTCATGTCACAGACAACTACTTCCTCTCAGTGACTCAGACCTGAAAAGGTGATATTATGTGTGCATTCAGTTTGTTTCGGGTTTTTTTTTTTAAACGTCATTTTCTTGCTGTCAAATAAAGCAATATACTGCAAGACTGCAATTTGACAGCAATATGCTGTCAAATAAAGCACAAGACTGCCCTGCTTGACAGAGTCCAGAAATAGGCACTCTGACACACACAGCCCCCCTGCCTGGTCTGCGATGACCACCGTGAAATAGTGAAGTTCCTGGGAGCACCAAGGAGGGCATACAGCAAGTTTACTACTCCAGACTTCAGCAGAGCAGACTTTGGCCTCTTCAGGGATCTGCTTGGTAGTATATAATGAGAAAAAACCCTGCAGGGAGCCCAGGAAAGCTGGTTAACATTCAAGGATCCCCTTCTCCACGTTCAGGGATGATGCATCGCAACAAAGAGGAAGTAAGGCAAAAATTCCAGGAGGACTGCATGATGAACAAGGAGCTCCTGGCCAAACTAAAACACAGAAACAAAGCCTACAAAGAGTGGAAATAGGAAGAGGTAGCCTGAGAGGAGTACAGAGAAGTCCTCCAAGCAAGCAGGGGATCAGATTAGGAAAATTAAAGTCCTGAGAGAGTTAAACCTGTCTAGGGACATCAAGGGCAATAAAAAGAAAAAAACTTCTATAGGTATGTTGATGATAAAAGGAAGACTAGGGAAAATGTGGAATTTCTTCAGAAGGAAACAAGACTTAGTTACCAG